TTCAGCGCACGCGCTCCGACGCCCAACTTTTTTCGCACTCGACAACAGTCGCGCAGCTTCAGTTAGTTTAACTTTTGCAAGGTACTCTTATTATTATTGGAAAAGTTTACTTTTTATACGCTGAAATGAACAGCGTGACGAACTGTGTTGATTTAGCCGTGTTCGTCTGTCTGTCTGTATATATGCGAACTAGTCCGTCAGTTTTGGAGCTATCGTTCTGAAATTTTTCACACGTTCATTTCTCAGCTAGAAGCTGCTCATTTGTTCGAACCGCCCATATCAGACTTCTATAGCATTTAGCTGCCATACAAACTGATCGATAAAAATCGAAAAATCGATCGAAAAAAAGTTATTGTGTAGAAAACTTCTTTATTTAACCAGATATCTTCACGAAATTTCGCACTGATTATTTTCCAAGGCATTGTTACAATCTCCGAATAAATAATTGACATCGAACCACTATAACATATAGCTGCCATATAAACTGAGCGATAAAAATCAAGTTCCTGTGTAGAAAACTTTTTTGTTGGACCAGATATCTTCACGAAATTTTACACAGCTTATTTTCTAAGGCATTGTTACAATATCCGAATAAATAATTCAGATCGAACCACTATAACATATAGCTGTCATACAAACTGCTCGAAAAAAATTAAGTTCTTGTTTAGAAAAAATTTTTTTTTAAAAGCTATCGTCACGAAATTTGGCGTGGACTATTGTCTAAGACAATGCTACAATCTCCGTACATGTTGTTTAGATCGTACTTTTATAGCATATAACTGCCACACAAAATCCACCTGATCGCACAAAATCCACCTAAAAATGTTTTTATACCCTTTTATGCTATAAGAAATGCCGCTGTGAAGGCTATAATGGCTGCTGCAGCTAATTTTTTTCTAGTTTTGTTATCATTCAGCTGCTACTCAGCGTCTAGCAACTGCTATTGCGTCTGCTTGCTGCCGCTGCGCAGTCTCATAAACTTTTCGTTTGGATTTTGCTAGTTGACGCTCGTGGCTCATGCTGTCTGCAGCTCAGCTTATTATTCTACTTTTTTCTTGCTGCTTCTTCTTTAGTTTTCTGTGCTTTTGCTGTTACATCTGTTGCCTAGTTGCTTTAACGACTGCTGGTCGGTCGACTAGTCGCGCTCTTGTGCGCCGCGACTTGCTAGAAAATTTTCACCGCAATGCTTTTACTAACTTTTGTTGTTGTTTACTGCTGCTGTTAGCACTAACTATGTTATGTTGCCATTGTATTTGCTTGCCTCTTTCGGTCGCTTGCCTTTCCCCTCCTACTTCATCTCTCCCCACCTACTTAATAGTAGCACTATTCTGTTTGTTACTGTTTTCCGCGTCGACTATCTGAAGGTGAATGCACTGAAATCATTTGCACGTCGCATTCGCTGTTTTAAAAAAAAGTAGCAATCAACTTTTGCAGCGTGTTGCATGTATGTATGCATATACATATGTATAGATTGAATATGTATATTTTTTTTATAGGTCACTCTCTAGTTAGTAGAAGCTTGCACATATTTATTATAATTTTTAAAATTTTTCGTTTTTTGCTCGACACCACGCGCTTGTGTAGCTCCTTTGCGACATTTTTCGGGTCCACTTAGCTTTTGTTCGCACAGGAACTTGGAGCTAGGAACTGGTTACACAAATTGGGTCAACATTCAAGTATCGCTTACATACGTGTACTCGGAGTCGTCTGTCACAAAGTGGCGCCAGTCAGTCACTAATTTGAGCCATTCAGTCACTAAGTTGTGCCAGTCAGTCACTTACAGCTAGTTAAACATAAACAGTTAGCCGCTGTCACATCCAGCTTCTAGTTTGTGTCAATGTGGCTCACAAAATTTTTATTATGCAAATTTTTTAAACTTCACTACGGCTTTACGGCCCTACGCTTCTCTAGTTAGTGCACGAAAGTTTTTAAGTTTTGAAAACACAATTTACACTACATTCGTTACTTTAGTTGTTTTTGTTGTTTTATTACATTATGTTTATTTTTGTAATTTGCATTTTTATCTCCATTCATTTGAATGTTTGAGAAAATATTTTAAAAAAAAGAAATTACAAAAACAAAAAAAGCGCTCGGGAGCACAACGTTTCTACACGACAGCTATAAATACCGTGCTACAACAAAAACACAGCAGCTTTGTGCCAATAGTAAGTTTAAGCCGCCACTCATACAAGGGCATCTTCGATATCTTCGCTGCTTCACAATCTACGCAGTCTTTAAGCGCATTTGTTTTTTTTTTTTTGAGTTTTGTTTAACAAAAATCATTTAGTACGTGTAAATATTATAAGTATGTGTGTGTGTGTGTATACACAATTTTTACTGCCACACTTAACCGTACTTTTTGGTTTTCTATACCACACACATGCACACACGCGCATTCTTTTCACATTCTCTCCACACTACACTGCACTTTTAGCCAATTTCTAACCATTTGCCAGCGTATGCTTATGTGTGTGTGTGTGTATTTTTACTATCTGCTCTCCGTTTTTTTGTTTTTCTCACTGCTTTCTGTTACCTTCTTTAGCGCTTGTTGTTTTCGAAGCCCACGTACTAGGTATTCCGTTTCGCACAACCTCAACCGACGACAGGTAAACACAGACTGACTTTGGCACTGAACCGATTCTCAGCTACTACTCGCACAATTGGGTAGCCCCGTTGCAGCACCCGCTCCGCTTTTGTCTACGCCATCAGTGCACGAACACCACTACCACTGCTACAACAACAACACTACTAACTACTACTAGCACACACCAACAAAAACAACTAACACCATCTTTGTTGCTCGTAGCTTTGTATGCCCGGCTTCATGATCATCATTGTGTCTGCCGTGGTATTTTGTTATTGTTGTAGCCGTGCGCTCGTAGTTAACAGTTTGGCGCTATTTCAGTTGTGGTTGTTGTTAAAACAATTTTTGTTTAATGGTTGGGCACACCAAAACGGGTAAGAAGAGAAACCGGCAAAAGCCGCTACGGTGTTCCTAGCGGAGCAATGAGGTAGCAGAGATGAATGAATGCGTCAGAGCTTTGAGATTAGCGGTTTTATCGAAGTAATCGGTTTTAGCGAAGTAACTAACAATATTTCTAGAGCTACTAGTAGTCACGTACGCTAAATGGGTTTAAAGCGTTTAAGGCCGTGAGGGCTTTCGCTTCTTAGTTTTACTTAGGAAATAAAGTTATTTTATGGCAACTTGCAAGTCCGAAAAACACGTTTTTTGTGACTATTTTAAGAGCCACTTCATTTAATAAATAAATATAAAAAATGTGCACTTATCAAATTTTATGTACTTTAATAATCGGTGACTCTTTTTGAAAAATTTTTGATTCTCTTGATTCCGTAGACGTTCTTTAGGAAAGCCACCTTAAGAAGTCCTTCTGAAAATTATCTCAAACCCAAAAACAAAATATATTATTTCGATAGATGAATATAGATAATGATCGAGAACTTTTGAAAAAAAAAAGGAATATTTTTCGAGTTACATACGGACTCCGAAGGCGCTAAACACGTAGGTACTACACTGCTGCCCTAATTCCGGCTTTTTCCATGGATGAGAAAAAATTTGTTAGTAATCTTATTATTTATCTCCGAGTACTCACTCATGCAAATTTGAACAAGAAAGGAAGGGCTAAGTTCGGTATTATTTATCTCCGAGTAATCACTCATGCAAATTTGAACAAGTAAGGAAGGGCTAAGTTCGGGTGTAACCGAACTTTTCTTACTCTTGCAACATTTAAAGAACAAAGGGGGAAGAACACCTTCAGGTTTTGGCAAAACAATTTATCAAATTAAGGAAATTATCGCCGTGATTTCATCCATTTAAGGAGAGAGGATACAATATTGTTAGAAAGAGACTCTTTCTAAACTTCATTAAGATTTCTTACATATTGGTCGATAGATGCGGTATAAAGTGAATCGAAAATATTTATATTAGGTATATAGGGGCTAAGGGAAGTATTGATCTGCTTTTACGCATTTTTGGCAGAAGTTATAGTTCGATTTCGACAATTTTTGGAAGTAAGATGAAATACCTCGAGGCTGCTATTTGTGCAAAGTTTTATTCTGATCACTTTATTGATGTTTTATTTGTATACCGTAAGGTGAAAGATGCATACGGAATTTAAACGTTAGTTATATTAATAGTATATATCCGTTGTCTTCCGATTTCACAGTTTTTACAGTGTCTAATAGAAATGTTTGGGAAACCTCACACACTAAATATGGTTGAAATCGGTTAAGTAGTTCCTGAGATATAGGATTTCACCTAAAGGTGGGCGCTTCTACGCTCATGATACAATTTTTATACCTAATCTTTTTAAGCCTTTTCCTACCATCCTTGTTGTAAAATTAAATGCTCGTGGATTATTTAATCGATGAGTTACCGTACTTTTAGTAGTTTTTAACATAACCGTTATATGGGGGTGGGCATGGTTATTTTCACAGAGTTTGGAAGAGGTAATAAAATCACTTCTTCTCGGCAAGTTAGGTTGATATATCTACATTAAACCATGTAGCGGTCGGAGCCCACTTTTAAAAATTGTTGTGTTTTTATAAATTTTAAAAAATAAAATTATTAAGTTCAGCACAAATTCATTAGAAGTGAAGATATTTTGTTTATCTTGAAGTTATTTAATAAAACCTATATAAATTTTAATTAGAATTTAATTACTTAAAAAAACTTTTATTTAACATGATTACATTTTCCAGTTCGAAGTTAAGTAACAAAAAAAAAATTCGAAAATCATTTCAAAAATTTCCATTTTATCAATACCACTAACAGCTGATATTAACCGCAACATGTGCATGGATTAAATAAATTGTGCCACCATTTTAATTTAATATTATTATGCTTTAATTTTAATTGAAGCTTTATAATTAATTATATATATTAATAATAAAAAATAAAACAAATTTTCACAAAGTACGTAGATACTGCGTAACATTTTTGTTGTTTGTAAATAAAAATTAAACTCATATATTAATAAGTATATCTTTTTAAGAAGAAAATGACTTTGCCTTTTAGTAAAAATGTCTGCTGCCTTCAGCAGAACTTCCAGCGATTACCACATTCGTTGCACATGACAAATGTTGTCATAGGTTCATCGGAGGAACGTGTTTGTAATTGATTATATGTGCAGTTACGTTTCTTACATTTACCACATTTAAGCAGATCGGTCTTTGTGCCCTGTACCGTGGCCAACTGAGCGTCATTAATAGCTTCTTTAACGAATTTCTCGCGTAATTTCTTCATTTCATCACTAGCCATTTCTTCGGGTGTCATACGCGCCAATTGTTGTGCCGTAACGGCACCGCACATATAGTTGCTACGTAATGTGGGATTCTTTGCATCTTTCAAGTTTGCTACGCGCGAGCGTACGCGATTTTTGTATTTCATGTCTGTATTTTTAAATTCCATATAAATTGCCTCCTCTAATTCGGTTGCCATATCTTCCGGTTCTGGACAACCTTCCGGCACTTCACCCACCTTAAGCGCATTACATAGCATTTCTCGACACTTTAGGCGTACAGCATCGGTTAAACCGCCAGTACTAGGGAATGATGACTGCACTGGTCGACGCTCGTCTTTCGTCGATGATGATGCATTTGAATTGGATTTTTTCTCTTCGTCACGCTTTTTATCCTTAGATGAGCTAGACGAACTTTTCTCTTTGTCCTTACTAGATGATGATGAATTCGATTTGCTGCTTGATGATGATTTAGACACGTTATTACTAACAGACGACTCTTTGGCGCTGCTGCCACTTGAACCACCCGGCGCGGCAAGAAATCGTTTCCAATTTTTGATTAATGTTTTAGCCAATGCAATCACCTCCTCATCTTTGCTACTCTTACGTAGCTCATTTACAGTCATACCAATGCGTGTTTTGGTTAATATCTCTAAATTAATATTGAGTGTTTGCAAAGCCTTCAGCAAATCCAATGCTTGCTCTTGTCCCTGAAATAAAATACATCCAATTAACACATTTATTATATTTATACACAATTTACAATTTAAATGATTTAACGTTAATACAGGTATATGTATATAGGCATAACTGCGATAGCGCGCGCATTTTAGTTACAGCTCACAGCAAAACTGATGTTTGTAAGCATACACTCCCGGGCGGTAAGAACCGCTTAGCCTAAACAGCACCACTCTCTTTTCGTTACTTACCGTGCCATCATTCGACGTAATCTTCTGCATTTTCTTCTGTATTTTGAACACTTCTTCCTCAACGCTCATTTTTATAAATTATTGTATGTATTTAAAGCAAAAACGTCAACTTTATAATATTTCTCACACAACTTTTCGGTATATTCTCCACTAACCAAGCTGTATTTTTTCCATTAAAATATCCTAGTGATATTGGCTGCGGTTCTGTTGGGCAGAGGAAATTTCGGATGATAAAACTAGCGTTGCCGGACTATAAAGTTTTTCAACAACCAAACGCACGCATATAAATTGTTGTAGGATATATGTAAAGCCAATAATAAAAAACAAAAAATTATATGATTTTTAATCCAAAATGTTGTATATATTAACTCGCAATCTTGGTTGCATGTGATTACAATACGTGTAGAATTTCAGTGCAGTTAGTTTAGTTATAACTACGTCATAACAGTTTGTCGCTAACTTGTCTGCCTCATTTTTCAATTATTTAATATCATTTCCATAAAAATTCAGCTAAACCGACAAGTAATTTATCTACATTCTCTGATGTTACTCTTGAAAATTTCCCTACCAATTTCCGAACGCATTATTTTGTTGCAACCCTGTATGTAAAGTTTATTCAAACAGCTGGTCTTTATCATTTTCGTAGGTGTGCTTTTTTTTGACCGGTGTCTTGATTCTTTCGTAACTTTGTTTTCTTAAAAATATTTATCAAATAAAAGTACAAGTAACAATATGAATAATTTATTTAAATTGTTGCAAAAGCCGGCCACAACATTTCTTGGTGTGGCACAGTCGATGCCAAAAAGGTTTTACGGTAATTTAATTACTTACAAAATGGCGTTTCCTGCGTGGGTTTTTTAATTTCCTCTATCCTCTAACTGTAGCCGCGCCGCCAAAACGTTTCTATAAGAAAACCTCAGTACTGTATAATGATGGCAAGTATGAAGTTACGCTCGATAGTCGAAAGTTGAAGACACCAAATGGCACATTGTTCACAGTGAAAAGTGAACCGCTAGCAATAGCTGTGGCCACCGAGTTTGATGCACAAAAGGATCATATTGAACGCTCCAAAATGCACTTGTCTGCATTGTGCTTCACCGCACTAGATAATCCCAATCGGCATACAAAAACGGATATGGTGAATTATATACTCAATTACATTGCGACGGACACTGTACTTTTTCAATATGATGTGAGTATTGTTGCATTATTGTTTAAAGCACAAATATTTAAGTAATATTATAATTTTAGGATGAAAAAGAATTGCATGATTTACAACGCACCGAATGGGATCCCATAATACAATGGTTCAATCAACGGTATGGCACAAATTTAGAAAAAACTATGGTAATGTCGCCACCGAATGTGAGCCCTGACGACAAAGCGCAGGTCTCGAAATACTTGCTATCGCACAGTGAAGACGTGCTATTTGGTTAGTACACGTGTGTATCTTTACTAGTTTGTTATGCTTAACATTTTAACTTACAGGTTTTATCTACGCTGTGGACACCTTAAAATCCGTTTTATTTGCATTCGCTGCAATTGATCAGCGGCTTAGTGTTGATAAGGCTGCTGCTTTGTCCCGCCTCGAAGAAGAATATCAGGCGAAATTTTGGGGACGCGTCGAGTGGGCGCACGATCTAAGTCAACAAGAGTTACAAGCGCGCCTAGCAGCCTCTGTGCTCTTTGTGCATCTCAACCGTTCCGAACATTTTGTTAAGGAAAAGTTAATTGTTTAAAAAAATAGTGTTAAAGAATGAAAAAGTATTGTATGTTGTTAACTTAAGTAGCTGAGCGTGCCTGAAAAAAGTTATAATAATAAAATATGAACTCTGCGCAGCAATATACATAATTGGTATATCTCAACAATATAATGAATATATCGCAGCAGTAAAATATTTCAGCAATCAACTTCGAGTAATTCTATTTTTCTTAGCAAGAAAGTTAACTGTCTAGAATTAATTGCAGTTTGGTGAGTTTGTTTTAAGTTTTTCTTAATTTTTGATTTGACGTGCATACATATATATGTGTTGAAAGTAATTGATATATTTTGTAGATTTTTGGTAAATGTAGTTGCATATTTTCTTTCTATTGGAAATTGTGTAGTAGAAATCATCACATTTCCCAATGCTGTCCAACAATCAGCAAAACTGGATATGACAAACTGGATTGTTGTCCGTCCATGAACAGTCAGCATGACATTTGGCTGTAATAATAACTACCCATTGAATTAAGTCTATTGTTTAGCTTGGACAGCTATAATATAGCAAATTGATCGTTTAAATAAAAAACAATGCGTCTGTGAATGGTATTATTGCTAACCTATTTTACTTGTCGTTTCTTAATTTTGCCTCTAAAATCTTTTCAACTTTCCCACTCCTGATATTAGAGTACAACAACAACAATTTATATTTGCGTATGCTTTCGACTTTATTGAAAAAGAATTGTATTCATAATTTTGCCAATTTATTTTATTTGTCTCATTCCGTGCTCCCCCGTATGCGCGTTATTTTTCTTTCCCCCATACTTCGCTTGCCATATTATTGTTTTTTGTTTGGTTTTTAAATTGCTTATTGCAATATAGCGTTAAATTAATATTATCTTTTATATTTTTTGTTGTTGTATTTGTCTTCAATAATAATTGTATACATTAATTCGGCCTATTGCAGTTGCGATTTGATTTATTTGCAATATTTGTTTTTCTTTTTTTTAATATCTTTTGCTCAATAATTTTTTATTTATATTATTTTATTTGAATTTTTGTTTTGATTTTCTTCATTAGTCACTTAAATATGCTAATTATTGAAATTGGTCTTTTAAATAACAATGCGTTCGCTTTTGTCTTTTCTTCAATTTATAACTTTATTTAAACACTAATGTTGCGTATTATAAAAAAATCGTAATTGTTATTGTTTATTGTTTTGGTTATGCCATTTTTTAATTGCTGTTGCCGCATTTGTTTTTTTTTTGTTGCAATAAATATAATTCACGCACGTGTGTATTTACTGTTTGCTAAACTGCATTTATTGCAAGGCGGTCAAAAAAATTTTAAATAAACAACTCATTTACATATATATTAAATATACATATATATATTTGTAAATATACATACATATATATATTGTATGTACATATTAAAAACAAGGCGAGGTTCTTAAATGATTAATATTTATTTTCAAAAAATGTATTTATTTTGTAATTTCCATAAGCAATTCGCAACGCGCTTGTTTATTTTTTTAATATATTTTTTGCACTTATTTTGCACGCTACTGTAATATAATGCTAATAAATTTTTTTCTTAATAAAAAAACGTACGCATACAAGCGAATAACATGCATACCAATGCACTATTGCATTTGTTGTATTCTTGTGTGTTGTTACTTTTTTTCTTGCTGTGCTTAATTTCTCATCGTTGCTTATTGCATTTATTTATTTATTTCTCATGAATTATGCTGACTTTTTATTAATGCTAGTTTTGCTTATTTAAATGTATTCATATATTTTCAATATTTTCCACTTCAATTTAATTATTACATATACATTTTTTTTATTGATAAGTAATTATTTTGGCAGAGTTAAGCAATAAAAGCGAGTAGTAACCGGTTACGCGGTAACGAGTGTTTTTTGTTTTTTGCTCTGAGTGTACTTTACTTGTGTCGGGTTGTGTGTGTGTGTAAGTGTTTCTGTGTACGTGTTGGCAACTCTAAACAGCTTTCACTTCAAGACTTTTGCATTTTACTAGATGATTACTAGAATGCATGCGTGTGGTATGTATGGAAATTTGGTAACGTGATTGCGCCTATGGGTTTACGTATGTGTACATACATATAATAGTATAATATTAACATTATCGTATGTACATATGTATGTATCGCTGTTTGCTTGTATGTTTTTATGTATGTAAGCGTGTTTATAGCAGGAAGTATAGCGCTTGACTTAGCAGCGAATACTCTTTTCAAAAATATCTTTCATTGCATATATTTTTTATACCTTATTATGCTTTTATGTATGTTTGAATATATGTATGTATGTATGTACATATGTTTGTATATCAGCCGTGTATATTACTAATAAATAATTATATAAAAATTGTAGAGCGTTTCGTTCAAAGCGTTATAAATACTGGAATATTATTTTTGCATAGAAATTTCGGGATCCCGAAAAATAAAGTAAAAGTTCAATAAACATTTTTATTATTTAAGTACAGGAAATAAATTAACAATGAAGTACCTTAAAAATTTTTTGGGATTATCACAATAATTTCGGAATTCCATTTCGTAAACTATACAAATTTCAAGAAATTTTATTATTAAAACACTGAAAATAACCTAACAATAAAGCTCTGAAACAATTTTTTGGGATTTGAAAATTTCTTCGGGATTATAAAAATTATTTCGAGGTTCCGTTTCGTAAATTATAAAAAATTCATGAAATGGAATTTTTTTTAAGTACAGGCTATAAATTAGCAATAAAGTCTCGAAACTTTTTTCGGGATGGCAAATTTTTTCGGGATTATAAAAATATTCGGGGTTCCGTAAGTCATAAAAATTTCTTTAATGAAAATTTTTTTCGGGATTATGAAAATTGTTTCGGGACTCCGTTTGGTAAATTACAATAATTTTATGAAACGAAATTTTATTATTTCAGTAGAGAAAATAACTTAACAATAAAGCTCCGAAAAATTTTCGGGATTATAATAATTATTTCGAGGTTACGTTTCGTAAATTATAAAAAATTCATGAAATGGAAATTTTATTTTTTAAGTACAGACTACAAATTAGCAATAAAGTCTCGAAACTTCTTTCGGGATTGGAAATATTTTCGGGATTATAAAAATAATTTCGGTGTTCCGTAAGTCATAAAAATTTCATAATATGAAAATTTTTTTCGGGATTATGAAAATTGTTTCGGGATTTCGTTTTGAAAATGGTAAAAATTTCATAAAATGGTAATTCAATTATTTAAGTACAAAAAATAAATAAAAATTCGTGTCCTGAAACTATTTTTCTTAAAAAAAAGTGTCCATAATTATAGAAAACGTTTAACTAAACGCTCTACAATTCTCTCAAAACAAGTATTGTACATTTTTGACTATTTTACTATCAACACTTTTTTAGGTACGTGATTAAATATGAAGATGAGCACTACGTAAGGTAGTGTGGTAGTGATAATGTAAGAAAACTCAGTTTGGGGTTATGTGGGTACAAGGGTATGCCCGTAAGGTACTACAGTTGAGTGGGATACAAATTACTAAAAATATTCAACAACTTTAAGTACATCTGTATATGATTATTAACAAAAAAATTTTACTAAAGAATTTACTAGCTTAAATTCAAAGTACAGTGTGCACTCGGTAACATGAATCAGAAGCTCAAATGTCATGAATTGTACGTGAGTTCGCCTTATTAAATATTTTTTCTTACTTTCTTAAACATAAAGTAGAATTAAATAATATATTTTCTATAATTAGGATTATAATAAGCGAACATATCAGATTTCTTATACAAATAAAGAATCATCGCTTACTCTGAACACACATATGTAAGACGAATGTGTTTGTGTTTGTATTTATATAACTAGTTTTTGATATGCTATTTAATAAAGTACTAGTGACGAGTTCAACCAGAAATTTCCATTAAACATATGCTTGTTTACAATTTAGATATTCATAATTAAAATATTTTTAAAGTTTTTTTTTTGTAATTTACAATTAATTTAATTTAAAATTATGTGTTCATAATATGTTCGCAGGCTTCTCGGAAGCTAAAATAATTGGTTTATTTTCTTTTGATTTTCATATCTATTCTATATTATTAATATTTTATTTAACTCAGGCAGTCAGATCAAATGTCCTTGAGGAGTGAGCAATAAAGTTTAATATTTATTTATAACAAAATTGCGTCACATGATACGTTTTTTTCCAAAACGAAATAAAAAATTTAAAGAAATTTTCAGTCCCGAAACTTCGGGATCCCGTAAAAATTTAAGCGTTTACCTGAGAACTTTTATAAATGTTACCTATTTTTGCGTGTTTTTTAAAAAAATAATAGGTTAAACATAATAGAGTCCCGAAATTTCGGGATCCGAAAAAATGTAAGCCTTTATTCGAGTTTGTATTTGAGAGTTTTTAGAAATTTTAACTACATTGTACCTGAAAAAAGTAATTGGTTAAATAAAAGAAGAAATCCCGAAATTTCGAAATAGTCAAAATTTCTTCACTTTAACTTACTTTTTCGGTTTTTATCTTTAACCGAATGAAATATGGCAAAATCATGTTACGAATCCAGACATAATCCAGGTCATAACTTGTACCCGAATTGACATGTGTTCAAAAGTCATGCATTTTTTTGACTTTTTCCATAAATTTTTTAAATGTTTTAAATTAGATATCGCAAATTTTCGGGATCTCGTTAAAATAAAAGTATGACTTTTTGCTTATTTACATTGTGTTTTTAAAATTAAAAAAACTACGCAAAATTTTCAGAAATCCCGAAATTTCGGGATTCACCTTTTTTTAATTTTTCGGGATTTACTTACGAAAATGTAATAAAAAATGTCAGTATCTCTCATTGCTGAATTCTACCCGAATTAAGTACAAAAATCAAGCAGCTTTTAAACTTTTTCGTTAATTTTTTTAAACCTTTCAAATTAGATATCGCAAATTTACGTGATTCCGTTGAAATATGAGTATGACTTTTTTCTTTAATTACATGTAATAAATTATAATAAAAATTCTGAAAAGCCGAAACGTCGGGACTAATATTTTTCAAAATTTCCGGGATCCACTTTCGATAATATAATAAAAAAGTTCTGCTATCCCGATATTTCGAGATTTACTGTTTCGAGTTTTTCGGGATAAAATTTCAAAAATGTAATATAAAAAATATTAAAATCTTTCATTTAAGAATTACCCCCAATGAAAAAAATGTTTAACTATTTTATATTATTTCTAAACAACCTAAATCTGTTTAGAACACGCCACAATAATTTACTGCTCTTTCACTAAAACTTATCAATCTCACTCTTTTTTCCAAAAGAATTCACTACAATATTTTCTTAAAATTTTATGCTCACTCCAATGATCTGATCCGCCTCTATACCAATAATTTATTTTATATAATTTTACTTAAAATTTTCACAACGCAAATTTCCTCTCGAATTAGTTCCAACGTACCCATTTTACTTCTAAATGTTTTATTCAAATTTAAAAAAAGCATACTTTAAGGAGCAATAAGCAGCCGGCATACATTTTCAATAGCATTTCTTCATGTCCTAGGCTAAACACTTTTCGTTTGGATAATTCCAGCAAAGTAAATCGAATTGTGCTTGCGGATTTATGTTCGTTGAAATTTCTGATGTGTGTGGTTGTTGTAAAATTATTTATTTAAATTTATATATGTACATATGTATTTTTCAAGTTTATAAGTATGTCTTTTTGCCGACAATGTCTTTTGGTTTTAAGCTCTTTTTATATATGCGTTTTTGAACAACGCCATTGCTATAGCCTTTAGCGTACAGTTAACAGTTGAAATTTTTTGTAGATCTAGTTTTAGGCGCATATCATATACATTCATATCTGGTTATATATTTAGAGCGTAATATTATAGCCTCTTTCTCGTGCCGCGGATTTGCTGCTTATCTGCTTCCAACATTGTTTTTTTTTTAATATTGCACATTTTTTCAACAGTTTTTACAGTTTTTAGTTTTAGTTTATGTATTTCCTAAAGTTTCTTCTTTGTCTTCTAATATTTATATAATATTATTACTATTTTATTTCATTAAATACATAGTTTATTGTACTACAAGTAAGTGAGAAGTCTGATTACGAGTACGAGTATTTGAAAAATGTTTATGAGTATGAATCGAGCTGGATTTTGCACCTTAAGTACAGTGGGCATACGACATTCTGTTCGTTTAAGTTTTGATTCAACTACATGTATAACTGTTCATATTTTTGTTTGTATGTATTTCTAAATTTGTGTGTACGTGAAATGAACTAGTGGAATTTTGAAGACCTTTAGGTTTAGTTGGCGCTAGCAGAAATGTTTAAATTAGCTTGAAATTTTTTGTATGGCATAAGCGCCTAAAAGTATGAATTCGGAATGCCGTTATTTATATTTATATACATATTTAATAACTATCAGACACTTAAAGTTGTACTAAATGAAGCAACCATTTATAAACTTTTGGAAATTGATTACGGAATCTCGTTTTACCAACATGTTTTACAATTTTACATAATCGGGATCCCGTTATTTAAAGTTGTATAGCTAATACATATCATCACAAATGCCGAAATTTTTTTTAAACGTTGGTATAAGAAAAAATGCCATCCAAAATTTTTAAAATCCCGTAAATTTATTTCGGGATCTCGGTATTTAAAGTTGGAAATTTAATTCGTATCAACGCGGTTGCTAATAATTATATTTGTCGGCGCAATAGTTGAAAAATATTGTAAAATCCCGAAAATTAATTTCGGGATCCCGTTTATTAAAGTTGTATATTTAATGTGTACAACAACATTTGCTTACAATTTTATTAGTAGTTGAAAAAATTTAAAAATTTGCAGAAGCTCGAAAACTAATTTCGGGATTCCGTTTTGATAACAAATCAATTTTTTTAAATTTAAATTCTAAGCTCACAAACCATTATAAAATTAAGTCTTAATATTACAATTTATGCTGGAAAAGTTTTCGATATTTTTACACTTCATCCCAAAAGTATGCGACGCAGAATTGTCAAATTTCACCTAAGCTATTTTGTCGAAATTCCCAAATAAAACACTTGTACATACATATATCACGATTTCGTGTTTCTTTCATTGTTTCTTTCAATAATAGACTTATTCTTAGACTCGGGATCCCGTCAGTATAGAGATATTTTAACAGATTAAAAAAGATATAACTCCAGTTACTAAAAAAATTTGATTACTGCATGCAATGTTAAAAATTTATAGAATCCTGAAAAATAATTTCGGGATCTCGAATTACTCTGAGATCACTCTAGGTACTATAATATTATTAGTTTTTGTAACATAGTTTATGCATCAACAATTTGTAGAATCTCGAAAAATAATTTCGGGATCCCGGTTTCAAAAACGATGCTTTATCGAAAAATGTAAGTCTCTCACCAACAATTCATAGTAAAATTCATTCAGGAAAGCTTCACTTGCCTATGATTTAACATTTTTACACTTTCATAGTTATACGCCAAAAGGTATGCAACACATAAATTTTAATTTTTCACCTAAGCGCCAGCTAATACCGATTCCCAATATTCCACTTGTATATTTACAATTTATATTTCCTATTATGTGCTTTCTTTTGCTAGTTTTGCTCAGCTTTTTAGTATTTCAGGTCCATTTTATATATAGTTAGCCCTCATTTACGCTCTCAGCATACTACTTCACTCAATAACCTTAGTGTATTTTGGTGTTTTACCTAATATATTTTAAATTTTTTTATAAGTATTTTTAGTTAAGCTTATTTGTAATTTTTTCTAAAGAGTATTTCCGCTTAAAGACGACTTTATGAGAAGGAAAAAACAATGAGAATGGAAAATAAGAGCGACAGAAGTACATTCTTTTTCTTCTTCATGCTACTAATACCTTCAATATTTTGTCTTACTGTTCTTTCATTGTTAAGTATTTGTGTGTGGCCTGTGGGTGTCTGCTCCTGTTTTGCGCTCGAGTACCGGGTAACGAGTTTTGAGTTTAAATTACAACATTGCTCTTAAATTTCTTAAACATATAGTTTCTTAGTTTTGTTTTAAGTTTAGTGAGTGATCATGTTTTTGAAAGTGGTTTTGCTTTCTGTTTTATGTAATTGCTTAATTTTTCTTAGCTAGCGTTTCTCTTTTTGGGTTTTTTGCTTTCTAAAGTTCTATATTTGTTTTTGCTACAATGAGTTCCACTAGACTTGCGTATCCATGAGGCTGGTATAGGTTTCCTCGGCGAATTTCGGTGTTATGAAGTCGTCATAGTAGTTGATGAAGATCTCTTTATACTCATCCGGTATGTATTCGAGCGCTTGTAACATCTGCATCAGTTCCTTATCGCCACATTTATAATTGCTTAGCGCCATGATGTCCCAAAAATAGGACATATGCTGTATATATTCTATGCTAAAGACACCACATTGTGCAGCTACAATATTGAGAGCGTTACGCATAATCGAGCCCAGCTTATTGAATTCCCAATCGTCGAGCGGTTTGTGACCCTCTGTTGCGGAAGTTTTCATATTTTGTTAGAGAGATAGTGTGTCGAGTTGAGTGTAAGTCGTTTTTGGCAGCGCATTATTAGTGAGAGCAATAGTTGGGATTCGAGAGCGTTAAAAATTACGTTTTCGAGAGTGGTCAGCAAGAGTTGTATAGAGTTTAGTTGAAATTAGTTCGTTAAGTTCGTGCGCAGTTATAAAATGTGTAAATGTGAGCAAAAGAGAGTAAAGAAAATATGTGGTTTTTATTAGTAAAGCTCTGAAAATATACATACAATTCGATTTTAAAAAGAATTTATATAAATACATGCTTCGTTTATTGCTTTTCTTCTATGTTAATGTATTTTGTGTCGAGTTTAGTTCTAAATGCTTAATTTTACTCTGTAAAAATTTTACCTTTTGAGACTTATTATACTTGTAGAGTGTTTAATGTTTCTAGAGCAAGCAAAAATTTCAATATATTATTCTAATACTGTGCTTATAATATAATTTATGCTAGCTAGAATCTTACTAAGTTCAAATACTATGAATCTCTCGATATTTACTACTACAATTTAGCACCAAAAGGTTTTTGTATCCTTAGCAGAGAATATCAAATTTACTACGAAGAATGTAACACCTAAGCCGTGTAAAGTATATAGGTATAGTATAAATGATCAGCGTGATGAATTGATTTGCTTTAGTCATGTCCGTCTGTCTGTATATATGCCAACTAGACCCTACACTTTTGAGATATCGATCTGGAATTTTGCACACGTTCTTTTCTCACCAAGAACCTGATTATTGGCTGCCCCCTCTCGATATCGGACCACCATGAGATATAGCTGCCGATAACAATCATGTCCTTGTATGTATAGCTTTTTATTTGACGTTATATCTTCCCGAAATATGGCATATATTATTGCCCAAAGCTGTGCTACAATTTCCGAACAAATTTTTCAGATCGGCACACTATATCATATAGTTGCCGTTCAAACATCCGATCAAAATCAAGATAAATATATTTTTTCCTTACTAAGTCACGATTACGTTTTCAGAATAAGTTATATGAGTACATGTAGTTGCTGTTAGAAATGTACCATCCTAAAGTATTATCGTTTCTGTGCATAAAAAATATATAATCAGCCTTATCGTAAATTCGTGTGAACGCCATTTCCAAGGAAAATTCCTACATATTTGGTTTTCCTATCATGAACTACACATGTGAAATATCTCCCATATTCGAAAACTTGATTAATCGCTAATTTGTCCGATTCTATAATATACAAATAATTTTCTATATATCGTATGTATTTTGGGGGTTAGGTTGTACACTTGTACCATAGTAACTACTCCTTTCAAGGGCTGAGTTCATGCAAAAGAGGGATTCTTTATATACTATATGATACATACGTTTGAAATATAATATCTATTTATCTTTTAAAAATTATTACAAACAAAAATATTCTTTTTAATTATTTAAAATTTTTTTTTATCGAAATATTTGTTGTTTATGTTTAAATTATTCGCTGACACCGTAGTAATTATAAGAAAACTTTATATACATATAAAACTTAAAAAAAAATGTATTTAACTTTTTTTTTTACTTTTTCAAAGAAATACTAATTTCGACAATTGAAGTTATTTGTTGAGAAGATATGTAATAAAATAAATTATAAGAAAAATATTTAATAAAAAAATCTTGCTGTTTATTGTTTTTTTATGTTAGCGATCAATTTATAAGTACTTTGAATAATTTTGTTCAAAAAAACCAAAAAAACAACTTTACAAAGTTTAAAAAAAAATTAGTAAACCTTTTTTCATGCAAAATATATTGATATTAAAAATTTTGGAAGAACTTTTATTATTTTATTTTAAATAAAACAAATTTTTTATGCATATATAAAAAAAAAATTGTTAAAGAAAGTTTAACAACAATATTGTTGTTAAAACTTTTTTTATGAAATCAAAATGATATCAAAAATTTAAAAAGAAATATTATGGTATTTGAAATAATTAAAATTTTGTGAAAAATATTGTTGTTAAAACTTTTTTTTACGAAAAATAAATTGATATCAAGAATTTTGAAAAAAAAATTTATTATGTTATTTGAAGTACTTAAAATTTAGTGAATTTGTTATAAAAAAGTTTAATAAAGGAATTGTTGCAAATATTTGTTTACTGAAAATAAATAATAAATTTTGCATTGTATTTCATTATAGTTAATAAATTTTATTTTGAAAATTAAATTTTTACAGAAAAGGTTAAATGAAAAAATGTTAATGAATAATAGCTCAAAAATTTTGGAACGAAATTTGAAAAAAAAATTATTTTATTTATTTAAATTCAATATTAATAAAATTTTGTTGAAACAGAACTTTATTACAACAAAAAATTGAAAAGCTTTTTAATAAAAAAAAAATACGTGTGGTGCTCGCGGACTGCCGCGGTGAAGCTATTGCATAGCATTTTTTTATCAACTTATGTAATTATAATTATATATTTACTTTTTAAGCAGTATTTTTTTTTTCTTTGATATTAATTCAAGTTATACTTTTTGAGCGTGTTGACCGATATGAAAACAAATTGTTTTCTTTTATTAAATAAATGGGAAGTTAATATGCTTTAAAATATTTGTATTATCTTACAATACATGTAGGTAGGGCTTCTTATCATTGAAACTTTAGGTTTATGGTAACTGAAATAAGAAACATAAGTTTAGGACTTTATATCGTCGTTTTTGAAATAAAAATATAAAAATAAAAATACCGCGTCAATGGTGGTTCCATAGTTTGTTGTGGATTCTTGTGGATCATTATTCATTTTTAAATAAATTTTTTCCGAAACAAAAATTGTCAATCGCTCTGATTTTATCAGTGAAGTTGATGTTGAAATCGCCAGCCAAGATAAGTAAAAATTTATTACCATTGATAATCCGATTGAAATACATAATTTCAATTGTATTGTTCAATTCAAACGAAATACTATTCCAAAAAAATAATAATGTTACTAATATTATGACTCCGAATATTGAATAATTATTGTTTTTGTTAATTAAATAGTTTTTGAATTCCATATTTTTATTGGCCATTAAAAAAATTGTACCTTAAATATTATTATTTTTGAATCACCCTGCTCTTCAATTGATTTGTTCCGCTTGAAATATGCGAAAATATGCCTAAAAGTAGCCAAACATTTTGGGCATGCTTTGTGATCATGTCAGGCTTACCACCGTTACAGAATTTTTCGATTCGCTCACCGCGCTCAAGGCCCGCGATAAAAGCTATGCAATAGCTTAAAATAAAATTGGAATTAAAATTCTGGAAAATTATTGTTATTTTATTTTATAAATAAAATTATAATATCTGTAATAAATATGTAAATTGTGGTATTAATAAATTAATATCTTTATTTAATGAAAAATTAACTATAATGAAATACGTTTTTATCTAAAATTTTGTTAATAAAGCTTAAAAATATTAACTAGGATAATTGTAATAAAATTTTCTTTATTACTTGCTTTTATTTGGTTCTATAAGTTTTTAATTTTTTTATTTATTTGTTTATATAAATATTTATATATTTTTTATTTTATTATATAATAGATTTATAAAATTTTGTTTATTATTATACTTAATTTTTAGAAAGTACTTTTATATAAAAAAGTCACAAATTTTGTTTTAAAAATCTAGCGTTCCAACATTTTGCGCCAATCTTTGCTGAAGTTTAGTTTTTACTTGTTTGAAGAACTCGGGCGCCTCGAAATTCTACATACTATACTATTTAATGAACATATATGTACATATATATATATATATATATATAAGCTAATTACGTAATGCATAAAAACACTTCCTAGAAACTAATTAAAGACATTCGACTAGCTTTTGGACCTACTAAATGATATACTACAGTTATTACAGTAGTTCAAAATAATATTCATACGCAAATGTGTATGAATGTGTGTATTTATATATACGAGTATGTATGTATTTATGAATACATATTTAATAGTAATGTACATATTTATTTAATGATAATGTTATTTTTTTATATTAATGCGTTGTATGTGTGTAAGTGTGTATGTGTGTTAAATTTAATATTGATATGATTATTGCTAGTTTTTACTGTAACTGATGTATATGTACAACGTACCTCGATGCATCAATAAACACTGCTCGACTAGTTGGCGCGCCAAAGCGACTTTGCACTCGTTCATTTCAACGAGTTGCGTATCGGCTCGCTCAACGGCCGCGTACAACTTACAACGCATCTCAACCGAATCGCAATCGCTCAGCGCCGCATTGAAGGTCCAAAACCACTCCAGCTTTTGCGTTTCGTCGCAGGCGCTGCATACCAACAGATCGGCGCCCTCGTTGTTTGGGTGTGTATAATATGGACTGCGCCACCAGCGTAAATTGCTCGTGTATTTCAAATCGCTGGCGTTCGGTGTGAATATTTGCATGCATTTGGGATTATCACAGCGATAGCGATGAAATTTATGCTGCAAAATTTTTGTTGTTGTTTTTTTTTCTATCTTACAAATTTTCATAACATTTCTTTCATATACATACGTTGTAGGAATGCTTGTGGGAGTTAGTATGTTGGTATGTGTGTTTAAAGTATGTGAAGTAAGCATAAAGCGAAAATATTTTGGTGCAAGTGTTGTTGTTGTTTGTTTTTTAATAGAACTTTTTTCTTTGTAGTATGCAGTGCAAAAGACAAGCAAGTCAGTGTGGCAAGCGAAGCGATGTGTGTTAGAGCAAAGGACATGTATGAATCTATTGCATTTAAAAACAAATTTTTTGAAAAAATTTGACCACATTTTTTTATTTATTTTTTTTTTGTAGTTGAAAAATGGTCAAAAATTTCTTATAACTTTGTGTAGCAGACAGGCAAGTGACAATGACAGACAATTCGTAATTGAAACGTCAAAAATTTGACACAGACCAGTGACATGACAAAACGTAGCGAAGAAACTGATTAAAAATTTATAAGAATTGCAAGAAACAAATGTGTGTTTGGAACATATGATGTTCTGTCTCATGCAGAAGTTAGACCTTGACACATACGAATATAGCTTTTTAATACAGTGAAATTTACAAATTACTGAGTTTTTCAACACTGTTTCTATCTATGAACAGCTCTCACAAATATGCCATTTTCTTCATGACCTTAAAAATAAATTTTGCCTTGAGTTAACTTCTTTCGCTGTCTTTTTGTATTCTGGAGGTTTAAGGTTTTGAACTCTAGATGCCAGCAGTGTTATTGTCGAAAATATCTTCCTTGGTCTCCATATAAAGCATATTCACTTCCAGAACCTCAAATTGCGTAAAACCTTGACCACTTTCCGTTGGAACAGCCCATAGAGAGGGCGAGTGTTATTCCGCGCTACACCGATCAGGCAAATCACCTTTCTATATTCAAATATTCATGTAAAATATTGAGCTAGTATAAAGAGTCTAGAGTACTAGTCATGCCATGAATTTTGATTTCCGTTCAAATTAGTAGTGTAGGTAGAGCACTGAATACTGTGACAAATTTATAAGAAATAACTAAATCAGTTTAATGCTAAATCTCGTGAGTACCGACTCGAGCTCGTTATTAACCTCATTTCACATAAGTTTCAGTTATCTACAAACTGTTGTCAAAAATGAATTTCTTATCTAAATAAATCATAGTAAAAACCCCTGTATATCTACTCATTTAATTTACAAAGGTTTATGTGGTTTGTCTGATCATGGTTCGCACAGAGATTCGGCTATTAGCCTAGAAGGTCGACAGCACTAAATTTTAGACTCTCTGTCACTCATTTCTGAAAAATTTCAACAATGCAACAACTACAACCTGGTTAAAAGTGGACCCAATAAGCGAATTATGTAAGGCGCGTAGTAATCTTGATCTGTTGATTCACTACTTTTCATCAGCGGAGACTCACAAATATATTTATGCTGATCTCGTTCTAAAAAAAAAAAAGCTTCAATATCCTTTAGTTAAAATCGTTGATGAATGAGAAAGTTGGAAATGAGTTCTGCTTTCAATTAGAGAATTACAACTAGAAGGCTGCTGGCCTGCGAATCTCGCTGCAGAATAACAAAGAATTATGAAGATGTACTAAGTATTTTAAGATAACCAATTGCACCTATTTGAAGTTAAAACCATAAAAAACGTTAACTTCGGCTGCAACGAAGCTATAATACTTTCGCAGGTGCATTTCTTATAGCATAAAAAGGTATCAAAAGCTATTTATTTTGATCGGTCAGTTTCATATGTTACAGTAGTCTGATCTGATTTATACGGAGACTGTAACGTTGCCCTGGGCGGTAATCTGTGTCAAATTTCGTGAAGACACCATATGAAATAAAACAGTTTTCCATACAAGAACGTGAGTTTGACCGATCACTTTGTATGACAGCTATATCCTATAGTCGTCTAATAACGGCGGTTCCGAAAAATGAGGAGAAAAGATCGTGGGAAAAATTCCAGATCAATATCTCAAAAACTGAGGACAGACAGACAGATGGATATGGCTAAATCGACTTAGCCCGTTACGCTGATCCTTTATATATATACTATTGCGACGTTTCCTTCTAGTTTTTATAAACTTCATATGCCCTGTTTCAGGATATTAAAAGTTTGAAACCTACAACCTGTAAAATACTTTTTTGTTGGACCAAACGATTTTAGGGCCAGTAAGTATTGTATGGTAACGGAAATGCGTATAATGGTTAGCTGGTATAAAAAAACACATATATGAAGCTATAGTAGTAGTATATAGTATATAGGGTCCAATTTTTATAAATAAAAGGTTCAAGGAATTTCTACGTCGATTTCAAGATTATCACTTATTTATTAAGCCTTACAATTTCGGACAAGACTTATTCCTCATTTCGAAATCAGATTTTCAACACTCAACTTTATTGATTCTGTTTACATTTTGGTACGGATTGATTTGATTTTTCTTGTTACACATTACAAGATAATCCGAAGATATATTTTTGAATCAATTGGTACGGTAAATTGATGAAGGAAACATAGGACTTAACCTAGAACTTGTATGATTTTTTATCTAACCAGAACAGTAAAACTGAATGAGTTATTGGGTAGTTTTTCTTATGGGAGAGCATTTAAAATGTACAAGTATATAAACCTTTTGCTTTCGAACTTGCTGTTGGAGTCAAGATCAAACTTAGAAATTCATCGACATAAAAATAGTTAGTTATTTTTAAATTAAAAATCAAAGCTTTTCAATAGCTATCCATTTAAGTCGGTAATACGCTCAAAGGGTGGAGGTGCCGTAACCTTGCTACACATATTGCAGGGAAAAATATTTAGATCCGCATGGTAATGACAAAAGTTGAGGGTCTTCTCAGCGAATGTGAAATCATTTCCACACTAATCAAGAAATATATTTTAGAATTTGGAGTAGTTTAGTCATGATTTACCGTGATTAACTTATCTAATTGAGTAGCAAATCCTTTAGGTGGTAAAATTTTTTTGAAAGCTTTGTATATGATTAGCATAGAGTGGTCCTAAGCAAGTTCTTCATTTTCTCTTCTCTTTATCTTTACAATATAGTGGTAATACAATCAACGTTCTATGCGATATACATAATTTTTTGTGAAGCCTTGAGCTGTTCAAATCCACCATAACCTAACTTTTCAAGAACATGTTGTGAACTTAACGGTCTTTTGTTAATTTTTTATACCTTGAACAGATTATATTAAGTTTGCCATAAAGTTTCTAACATCCAGATGGCTACTTCGGTGACTCTATAAAAAATATATAGTATATGAATTATCAGCGTGACGCGCTTATTCAACTTAGCCATATCCGTCTATCTGTCTCTATATACGCAAACTAATTACCCAGTTTTTAAGATATCGGTGTGAAATTTTGCACACATCATTTTCTTCGCAAGAGGCTGCTTATTGTAGAAACCTTTTGAAAGGCGTTATAGCTTTGTTGAAGCGGAAGTTAATGTTTTGTTTGTTTTTTATTTTATTTTTGGTAAGCTTTTTGTATTCTTAAAGGTAAATGGACACTATGGCAGTTATTCTTTTTCTCTTCTTCTGAACTTTCCCAATATAGTGCTAATATTAAGTATTTTCTGTATGTTATAACTTTATGTGAAGCCTTGAGTATACCGAATCCAACATAACCATAATTTTCGAGATCATGCTATTGATTTAAAAGTGCTTTATTATTTTGGGAAGGTTTGGCCTTTTCCTTTTTCATTCTTTTTTCCTTCTTACATAGAAAATTTTTTTTTTAATATTGGACCAAAAATTTTGTTAAAAAAAAAAAATTATGTTCGAAAAAATTTTTTTTCCAAAAAAAAAAATGTTATTTATATATTTTTATATTTTTTAAATATTTGCGAAAAACATAGGCCACACAATAAAATCCACAAATAAGTGTAAAAATATATATAATTTACAAAAACATATACAATAGAGGCTTGAATGCCGTTAAGCGCCTAAAACTATGTAAACATTGAAATATCTAATGAACACGAGCACACATGTCTGCATAAATGACTATATATAAGTATGTATATATATATGGAAAAATCCAAAAACACGGAAGAAACTAGGCAAACATACACACACATACATACATATATACACATATATAGATATATAGTATATAGTAGAAGACTAGGCAAACAAATGCACAGACCCACCGAGTACTAAACACAAACAACAAAACAAAACGAATGAAAACACGAAGAAGAAAGAATTCAATAACAACATCAAGAGCAAACACACCCACATTGAGCCAATGGAAAGTGGAATTAACTATAATCGCTACTATTGCATACGCACAAACAACCAAACAAAAAACAACAACAACGCATCACATACATATTTACACATACATGTATGCTAGTATGAATGGATGTATGTAGAGACTATACACACTTAGGCCACTACTTTGGCTGAAGAACGTAAACATTTAAGAACAACAACAACAACAGCAATTAAAAAAGTAGTATAATATATAGGAACTAGAATGTGGTATGTGTATGTGTATATGTGTTCACATGTGTAAGTTGATATATGAATTATGTGCATTTGTTGTTGTTGTCAAGCGAGTGTCATAATATTGTATAATCAACAACGCTTAAGTTGCACACTTACAAAATCCTCATCCGGATATGGACGAAAACACTTTTCGCACTTGCAGTCAATGCCGCGCGCCTTGAGGTTTTGCCTCCGTGTCTCGTACAACGATTGTCGATAATCACCAGCGTAAACGAAACAGTTACCAATGCAAGCGCCCAACAAGATGTCACATGTAGCATAAGCGGTCACCTGACGCCCGGAGTGTTTACGATACACTTGACCGGCGCACGATTGCCGACACAGGCTCAACGTTTGCGGATAGACGGCGTAAGCGACGCATGCCACATCGCCGGCCAACAAATGCAATTGTCCCTGCCGTATGTGTTTTACCGCCGACCATAGGCTGAATTCGTGCAGCGGCGACAGTATGTGCGGATCTGCGGGCAACACAAAGGACGGGCAGTGCGTGAGATGTTTGTGCCTCAGTTGGCCGATGTGACGCAATAGCAGCGCGGCCGAGAGTAGGATCCATTCGCTGCGCGTCAATTTCGTTGTGGCGGGCATCATGAGATCGAGGTGCTCGAAAAAGTCCGTGCATTCAGCCAAATAGATGGCTAGTATGTGTGCGGCAATGGCGAGTGAAACAGTTGTCTCGGTGTCGATTTTATCGAGGTGCGCTTCGAGGCGCAACAGCGCCGAATATGGTATGTCCGTGCGTTCGGTGAGTATGCCATTGAAGGCGTTCCACATTTTGTTGACCGTCGGTCGTTTGCGACAATGCGGCATCACCTGCGGCAAGCCGGTGATGAGCATGCGAAAGGCGAGCTGCAGTAGGCGCGGTTTGGCGAACGCGTCGCCGAATTCTTCGAACAGCTCAATCTGGTGGGCGAAGCATTCGAGCACGTGTATGGATGAGTGTTGAGCGCGACATTTACGCGAACAATAAACGGATGTGCGATTCGAACAGTAGTCGCATGGAAATGGTATGAATTGTGTGATGGCGCAATTGTCGCAAATGCGCGCCTGTCCGCTGGACACAAAGATGGCGGCTTCCTCGCTGAAGATCGGCATGTGGCGCACAATGTCTGTGGTGGCGCGCAAGTAGGCGCGACGTGTCGTTGTAATCGCGTTCGACGTGTCCGACCAGGCGCTGTACAGACGGCAAGGTAGAAGTTGCAGCAACGAAAGCGAATAAAAATAAAGTTAGTTTAACATTTTTAGCCACATATATATTATATATGTAAACAACTAAAGACTTACACTTCGTAGACCTTCAGCCGATTGCTGTTGCTCCCGTGCAGTATGTGTTGTGGTGCCATTGCGGCCGCTGCCACATAATGATCGTCATCTGTTTGCACGCCCATATCGACCTTTTCCGATTTCAGCACCTCGCATTCGTGCCAAAGTTCGTGTGTGCGCGCCTCAAACGCCTCGGAGAGATCCATGTGCAGCAGCTCGTGCACATGCAGTTCGCAGAGCGCAAAGTTACGCAACTTTAAGGCACAAGCGGCTTGGCGTAGTTTGATCAACGCGTTATACTCTTCGGGATAGCCGAGTTCCAGCGCGCACAGGCAATCGTCGTAGGCTTCCTGTAAAGGCAGTAAAGCGTAGCGCACGTAAAAACAGAGTGTTTCATAATGTTTGTTTCATGCATGTTGAACTTTAAATTAAATAAATGGCTCGAAAAGCGCAATTACATGGCGGAAACAGAGTGCTTGCGTGTGACTCCTGTGTATTTGAGAAATTAATTAATTTCCAATGAAAAATAAAGCACGAAATAGTACAAAGTAAACCAAATGAAGGATGAGAATGTGCGATAAAAACACACGAGTCACGAAAGCGCTGTGGCGCACGAAGCGCTCTAGGAAAGTGTGCTTAATGGCGGAGTTAGTTAGGCGCGTTGCCTGTGTTGTGGCATTTTTTCGCTATTTTGCAGTTAGGCGTGTGCTCAAGGCCAACGCGCCGCCATAACTCCCAACAATTGTAATGCGCGAAATTTTGTGTGAAGAAAAATGCAAAGCGTAAACGATTTTTATCGAACTGTTTATCAAATTTATTACATTTGATGAGCTCGTTAGCTGAGGGGATGTTAAAAATGATCACTTCCTTAAGCTTCGACAGTTCAGTTTTTGAAAAAAAAAAACCTTCGGGATACCAAAATTTTAGGACTTGTTCCATAATCGCTTAATGTGTTGAAATATAAACTCAAAATTTTTGTTAAGCGTTCGACTGTTTTAAAATACATTCTCGGGATCCCGAAAACTTAAGAGGCTTTGTTTGATCCTTGCAATTAGTAAATTGTAAATTTCATTGATTTGATATAAATTAATGGTTTTATTGGTGTCTATTAAATGTCATAAATTTTTGTTTGTGCCCTTTCGCCCAAAGTCTTTATCAGATCTAAAAATTTAAACTTTTATTGGCTAAAATATATCTAAGATTATATAAATAGACATCTGTTACTACAATTGGTTTGAAAGGGTACATTAAAATTTAGATCTCTTTAATAATCCCGAAATTGCGGTGCCCAGAAAATCAGAATTTCGGGATCCCGAAAATGTTCCTAGTTGTTTTTTTGAGTCCTTTGTCACTTCTCAAAAGTGGCAAGATCTAATATTCACTAATTATACATTTAATTGATTTATCCTCTAATGTACAAAATATTCGGGATTGTCTTTCAAATTAAAATTTTTGTTTTTATTATTTTACAAAAGTGGTCGAAACTCGTTCAATTACTTTTGTAGAAACCCAAGTTGAAATCATAATTTGGATCCCGAAAATTTCGGGATTTATTGTTTTATTTATTTAATTTTATTTATATTATTAAAAAAAATATATTATTAACATACTTGTATATAAATATATTATTAAAATATATTATTAACATCCATTATCAAATTTCTATGAATTCTTAGAAATTGGATTCTTTCGATCTCGGGATCCCGAAATATTTCGGATAGAATATTGAAAATAAAAAAAAATATTTTTATTTTTGGAACTAGAAATTGTGAAATTAACTTAGAAATTGAACCCTTTCAATTTCTGGATTACGAAATACTTCGGGTTTTAATTTAGTATTTAATTTTTTCCTCTTCTTGAAGATTAAAATCTTAGGACGACAAGCTACCGAAATAATTCGGGATTTAATTTAAAATATCAAAGAAAATAAAATCAACTTCGTGGTCCATAATTGAATTTTAAAAATTCTCTAAATATCGGATTATTTCTACCACGGGTTCCCGAAATATTTCACATACTAATTTAGTATTTATTTTTTTACTTAAGAAAGTATCGAACTTTAAGTTCACTAATTATTTTTATTAAACGTAATTTGGAATATTATATATTTCTTCGGAGTCCATTTTGAGTTCTAAAGAAGCTCTAAAATCCGATTTTCTTTGGACCTCGGGATCTAGAAATATTTCGGAATTTAATTGACAATATTTAAAAAAATCATTAATTTAATTTATTGAATTGCAAAGAATCTCCAGAAATCGGGTACTTTTAATTTCGAAATCCCAAAATAATTCGGGATTTAGTTTAGAATTTTTTTTACTTTAATTTTTATCATTTAATTTTAAACAATTTCTTGAAATCAGAATATTTGATTTTCGGGATCCCGAAATATTTCGGGATCTAATTTTCTGTTTTGTTTCTTATGCATGACAAATTCTCATTGGGACTTCCGAGCTATTCATGTGTAACGGATGACCTTCTATGTTTGCCTAAAATGCATATTTTATTTTTACAACAACTCATACCTACACAACCATGTATGATATTATTTGCCAACATTGATTTAAATTGCATACATTTGTATATACATACAATTTGTAGCAAGTATACCATGTACATACATACCTCATACATGCCGTAATCATGCAACACAGTCGAACGATTCGCATGCGCCATTGCCGCTGTCGTATTGTCTGCATCCTCTTCGACGGGCGCTAAAAATATAGCCTCTGTATATAGATCGCATGCCTTGAGTGGATGATGTTCCTTGCGATAGCAATTATTGCCCGCCTCACGGACACGTTGTGACTCCTCGTCCGATCTGAACGATTCCGTTTGGACGTACAACTGTTGAAACCACTCGAGTACTTGGACTCTGTAAGCGAAGAAATTCGAAAAAATAAAATTTACAACAATAAAAAGCTACAACAACAGCATAACAGTGAAAGCTATGAAGTGTGCTAAATATTATTTAATCGACGCAAGGAATTACAAAAACAGTAAAATGTGAAAAAGTTTTAGCTAAGCTGGCAACCTTTGCCTTTACGCTACACACTCATGCTGGGAATTTACATAATTATTAGTTTGGGAATACCACAGGCATATATACAAGTATGTACACTCGTCGGGGCATAGCAGTTCAGCAATAATGGCGACGTTGGCGCACTGGGCTAAACACGTCGCATGGTTGCAAAAGTGCGCGACAATGCGTCTATTTTTAAATATGATAATGACTTTTCACCACCTATTTGCTTTTGTTGTTGTTGCCGCTGTTGTTGCTGTTACTGCCTTCCAACACTTGATGTGTTATGCTTTTGGCTTATGAGCAATCGAAATAAAACTCTTGGCTGATGAAGTACCGTTATAAATATATATGTATATATATATATATACTGCGTATGTATGTATGTATGTATGTATTCGTGAGTAATGTGTTGGCTTTTTCTTGCGTTGTAACGGTGTATGAGTTAATATGTAATAGTAAGTACGAGGGCTATTTAATAACTCTAGATCTTTTTGAATCACTAGTAAAGTTATGTTCAATGCTACCCTGTAGCTCTTTGAGAAAGGTCACACCATTATTTGGAAGCTCTATAAAACAAAACAAGAAAAAGCAGCGAAAGTAGGCCTCAGCATTAACATCGGCAAAGCCAAAGAAATACGAATCAACACCACCTATGTGCAGAACTTCCAAGACGATGGTATAAAACTCGAAAATGTGAAGTGCTTTCATTACTTGGGCAGTATTATATCTGCAAACAGATTATTAAAGAAGATCATGCAAAACCAAACTTCCCTCTGCACAGAAATTAAAAAAAAAAAATGGCTCGGCCATATTCTGAGACGAGATCCAGACACAATCACCCGGAACGCAATCGATTGCAATCCACCAAGTAGCCGACGGAAATGGAGATACGCTCTAAAGCAATTTGGCCGTAGAAATTTCTAAGGTCTAAATAAGTGCTACTTAAATCAAGAGGCTATCACTAGATCGAAATATATGGAAGAGTCTCATTGCGGCCCTTTGCTTCCTCGCGGAGCCATACGATGCAATCTATATATATATCTATATATAGTAGTGGAAATTTTGACTCAAACACATATTATATTTGGTACAAAGTCCTGAGAAGTCTATGTGGCTTCTTTCAATAATCAATTTCGGTTGCTAGAAAGTGGTTTCTAGAATTCCGTCAGATTTGTTCAAAATAAAGTCGTCAATGGAGTATCTTATAATTTCTGCAGATTTTCCTGAGTTATACATTTATCACAGACATAGCATCGCTTTTTGAAACATAAAAGAACTACAGGATCTGCTAGGGAATGGGCTTATATTGAAGTAGTAGATCTCGAACCCAATTTCATTAGATCGACTCTTTACCAAATTAATTCAGTGTTTACGGGATTTCAGTACCGACCCCAGTAAAATAATGGAAAGACAATGGGTTAGGATCGAAGCTCTGAATGTCCGATCCATTCTGTAAACAAGACCTACTCTTTTAGCAAGTCAGTTAAGTGATTACGGAAAGTGAATCCAAATCACAAAATAATTATGGTAATAGCTGTTTCGATAGACAAAGCTAAATAAAAATCTAGATAATTGTCATAAAAGTTCTGCCCTTCAAAATCCATATATCGCTCAGAGAGACATAAAGTCTTGAAAACCCGTTCTTTCAGTTAATATGTAGGTGTACACTTTAAAAAGCAGAGGTACTTGATACTGTCAAACTCTAACGTATACAGTAAGATATAAAAAACCAGATCGTGGGTAAGTTACATATGTGGACCAAAGTAGAACTTGTTACTGAAATCTAAAAGCTTGCTTAAATAATCCTTAGCAGCATTGAAATCAATACTTGGTTCACACTGGATATTATGCTAAGAAAGCTAAAAATGTTAGCTTAAGAAAAAAAATGACCTAACAAATATCAAACTTCTCCAGCTACCCTAGTAGGCTGGTATATGCCTTCACACATTCGAGTATATGTCTGTCTGTGCGTATCCCTCTTGCGTGTTAACACACACCGTAGTCCGTCCGCACAATGTCATTCATATGCCTATGCGTTTTTTCGCATTTTCTTACTGCAGTAAAATTCAGCTCCTTCAGCTCTCGCCACTCTTCCGGTTTGATTCCGTTACTTTGTGTTTTATAAATTACGGTTTTAATGCGTAAATTTGCTTTGGCCAGCTAACGTACTAATTGATGTAGTATGTCTGTAATCTGCATGCGACTTGTATATACTTTATATTTGGAGCAATTATTACAAATGCATAGCTAAAAATTTGTCCACCCAACACAGAGTTTTAACTACTTTTATCTACTCGTTGTTATCATGTGGAAAAAGAATTTTATAAAATAAGTCAACAAAATTCGGATGAAATTCTTATCTTTTGTCTGTAATTATAGTAATAAAGTAGTAGAAATTCGTTTAGAAGCACGCAACCACAAAATCAACGTTGTTACAAGTCTACTAATAATCCCTCTTCTTTTTGGCTCACTTGGCCCAAAATTTTCATTAACAACACCCTAAAAAAAGATTAAGGTCTAGAATAACTTTGGTTGAGTAAACAAGTTCACATTCGACGTAAAATGAGAACTGTGAAAGAAATTCTATTTAACATATTTTCAATATCAAGTTTAGAAAAGCCATTTTCCTAGTCCGAATTATGTAGTTCGCAAAACTTGTCAGTATTTCTATAACTTATTTGATAGTATTCCTCCTAAAAAGTTTAGACTGCTATAAGGTCTGAATAGCGGCTTCGCTATGGACTACTCCATTCAACAATTAAAAAATAAAAGCTTAACAGAAAAGGATCTCGGCGTTAGGAACGTTGCCGACAAGTAATGATAGTGTACTCCAGAAGGCTTCGCATTTAAGTAATTTCCCTTTTATACTGTATGTGAACTTTTTGTATTATATTTTTGGTACACTATTTCCACTCTTATCAGCCACTAAAGCATTCTGCGACTCCTCCATA